GCAGCTGCACCGGAAACGTTGTTGGCTTACATTAGATACACCTTTGTTATACTTATAAATTTTATGTCATCATCATAATCATCACTGCAGCCCTTCATTAAGCTGCTGAACATAGACCTCCCTCCAGTAATGCCACAAAGCGTGGTCCTGAGCCAGCTGCATCCACCGACTTCCTGCAGCCTTAACAAGTCGTCACTGCATTTAGTGGGAGGCCGTCACACTACGTCTACACTTCACTCAATGATATGAGGCTGCAGGCTGCCACTTTGGAACCTTTCTTCCCCATCGGTTGCTGTATCGTCAAGTTATATGGTCGATCTTCTGCCACTTTGACTTACTAATCCGTTGAGTTAGTTAATCTGCAAAGTAAAGTCCTATCACAAACAGTTACCCGAGTTGATTAGCATTTAGCTCGCTTTTTTTTGCAGTAGACACAAATAATTTGTCTGTAAACCGTTAAGACTCTAAACGATGAATTATTATATATAAAAATAGTAAATAGAAGAGTGCAATTAATTTATATAACAACTTGTTCAAATAAAATGTTTATTTTTTTATTAGAAAAAATATTTATTATTTTATTACAAAATATCTTTTTTTATAGGATAGCTGAGAACAAATGCCTCCTCCGTTGATTGTCTCATACGGGTGATATCTGCCACAGTTGCCACGCTTGGCAGGCGGGATGGCAACCGGAGTTTTTAATTATTGGCTTCGTATCAGGAAGATGCTGCTGCCCATTTATTATTTCATTTTCCTCCGTCGCCTTAACGTCGCTCACGGGTGTGGGTGTCGTTGATCATCTTGCACCACCTCTGTGAGGTGATAAACATTTAAAAATAGAAGCAAGTAGTAAAAATAAATTTAAATTACTATAATGTATTTAACAAATCCCTTATCTGCGTATCACGATCATCGTAAGAGAGACAGGATGAAACAGGAGGTGAGCCGCAACATCTTTCTGACAACAACTCAAAGTATAATATAAATCTGCGTTTGCCAATCCACCTGCCAATAAACTGTAGCCAAATCGCTCGCAATCTACGGGCAAGCCTATGTCCAGCAGTGGGCTTTGATAGACTGTAGTGGATTGAATAAAAAACATTAGTGGTGTCACTTATATAATGTGGTGTGATGAGTTCTGTATATGAGTTAGCCTCGTTGGTCTAGTGGTTGTAGTAGTGCGACTACTGATAATGAAGTTCTGGGTTCGAATCCAGGGTCGGTCATCCCGCCTAAGACAAGTGATGACAGGGTCGTTCCTATCATTCAGACGGGGCAAGTAAAGAAACAAGGTGGTGATGAAGAACGAAGATAATTTCTGTGCTAATTCATTCGAGTGTATTTTTTATGTTTCCTGTCTTAGGAATTCGTTGCATGTATGAGTATTCCAGTTTTTGTGGTATGAAACGCGGTGAATTTTATTTTGTATCTCTTTTTGTTATAATAAACAATCTAGTCTTACATAAATCTTTCTTTTTCTTTTCTCTGAGTATCAGACAATAAATTTCTTCCACGGCCGTTCTATAAGTAGATTGGGGTTTTTAATTATTTAAGAGCACATGCAAACATCTACAAAAAATTATCACCTAACGCTAAATGCTAGTCTCTTTTTTGTTCCGTTACTAGAATCTGAACTAAAAATTGAAACCTGAATAAGAACCGAAAGAAAAGAAAAAAGAAGTACGAGTATCTAAGCACTAACAAACATTAGAGTTTTAATTAATGCAAGTACCACCTCCGAAATAAAGGTTAATCTGGCCAGGTGGACAGGTTGCCTTACGTCATAGTACCTACCTACAATCTATATGGAGCTATAGATATGTATATCATACTTTCAACTATTCTTATTTAATTAAATTAATCTATTAATAAATAAATAATCTACTAAAAATAATCTTTATCTGGGGGCACGGCAGTGCCACCGCCAAGTCGAGCAAAAAACGGCACGGCCGTAACATACTTTTCTCAAAGCAATTCAGGCCATTTTCGACCCCCTACAACTTCGTAGTGGATAAAATTAGAAACTTGAATTTTCGGTAACCTAGTAGGCATTGTATAAACATAGTATATTTTAAATTTCATTCAATTTGAACCAGTATTTTAAGAAATATAAGTAGTCAAAATTTCTTAACTTTGTCACTCACTGACTGACCAATCATCAAAACTCTAAGACACTTATAGCAGAGAATCTTCAAATTTAGAATACAATTAGTGTTTAGTGTATAAATCAAGGAAAAACTAAAATATTTTTTAATTTCGGTGCAGTTTTCTAGATACACCAACTGCATAAATAACTTTGTAATCCTATATATATATATATATATATATATATATATATATATATATATATATATATATATATATATATATATATATATATAGAATTACAAAATTACATTTGCAGTGAATGAATCAGTGTACTTGTATATGTATAATAGGTGTAGATAGGTACGTTGTTGGTATTCACGAAGTAGAAGTTACCGGAAAGGAAAAACGTAGGAGTATCTTATCTACAAAAAGAAATGAGATGCCATCAAAAACATAACTTGTAAAAAAAACCAAGTCTCGCAACTCAGTTCTTCTACCGTAAAAAGTTATGAGATCCATGTAATACCAAGTCGGTTAATTTATTCAGTCTTTACTTAAGGGTCTTTCTGTTTTAAGTTATTACGTAAATAGCTAACCTAACAACATTTTATAGTGACCATATCAATGTTAAAAATCTTTTATGTTTAAAATATATAGATTGACTTGGCAATCGCACTAAGACACAATGTAATCTAATATAATATGTATTACTTGTGGGATACATTGTTTCTCATGCGATGGCCAAGTCAATCTATTTAATTGAAACATAAAAGATTTTTAACACTGGTATCAATCACAATCACTACAAAATTTTATTAGGCTAGCTAATTACGTAATAACTTAAAAGAAAAGGACTTTTAAGTAGAGACTGAATAAATTAACCGACTTGGTATTACGCGGATCTCATAACTTTTTGAGGTAGAAGAACTGAGTTGCGAGACTTGGTTTTTTTACAAGTTATTTTTTGATGGCATTAGATTTTACTGGATTAAAAAAGTGTGTGAGTGCGATTCGTTTAACAATGTAAAAATCCATGCTTCGGCCGATGACGGATTAGGTGTACGCGAGCCGTCGACTCGACTGGCAAACGTGGCATTTATATCACTATGAGGTAATTTATGGGGGATGCCTTTGTTCGTAGAACTTTTCCCACCAGACAGACGAATTTATCGTTCATTCGTCAATGATTCATTTGCATTCTTTTTTAGACAGCACAGAAATCTTTAAATCATAATTAAGCAGCCAGAGCGTCTACTTTCTTTTAAACCTCCTGTTTTTATGACATATTTGGCGTTGCGTTATCCTGGTGCCAGAGAAGGTGCCGGATTTCTGACTTGCTGGATAATATGCTCCAAGAGGTCACAATCTGTCACAAAATAGTCGGAAATTTATTATCCTCTAACAACACAATATAACCAGTCTTGCAGTAAAATAAAGTGATCATTTAGTTCTGCGTAGTTCTGCGGTTCGCACGCGGCGACATTTCTATAGAATTTGTACCTATATCCACAGAATAAATAATAGTAGGTACTACTATATTCACAAAGTAAATAATAGTACTACGTACCATTCAACCCAACTGGGTTTAACTTGAATGGTCTTAGTACTACTACTACTACTATATCATCAAAGCACCATAAAGTTGACTGTCGTATTGTTTTAGCATCATAGTCTATCTATATATATATAAGTATATCGTAAGCTTGTAAAATTAATTCCTCAGGGCTGATTACTCACTCAATCTAAGTTTCCCGTTCTCGTTGTTCATTTCAATCTTCGATAACTATTGTACGAAGATAATTAAACTTATTCAAAACTACTCTTCTGAGCTTCAAGCACTGACCAAACATCTTTCAGGGAGAACGGGTGTGCTGGATGTATTTTTATAGTAACTGCTATCAATTATTAATATTATTGAACCGAGAAATAAAAATATCGCGAGAACTTATATTCGTTAGCGTTGCATGCAAAATTAAATCATGCAAATTTTAAATCTGTTCTAAAAAAGCAAAATGGCGAAATTACAATACAACCAATGATGTTTGGATACACATAATAATATAAATATAACTAACTATTACATACATATATAATATGTCGCAATCTTGTAATTTATTTTTAAAATAATTATTGGGGCCACCGCTAGCGTTAGTTTAGTTTGTTCTTGCGGTCCTGGTCTATGGCTAAAAGCTAACGCCATACAGTGTTACCAAGATACTAAGTTTAGCATAGTCCAAACTTTCTTAAAAACGCTTTTATTAAAAGCCTATTAGCCATAACCATAAGGGTATTTTTTCAACAGGAATAAAATGATCTCTGGAGGAAGAAAAAAAACTACAATTGAATTAAAAACACTCTACGAGCTAGTTAACTCAAAAAGTCAGTCACAAAATCTAATTTTCTTATTTCGTATAACATGATCCATAGAATTGCCAATACAATCGTCTTCTTTCTGAGCTGGTTTAATTGGCAGCCAGTGGTTTATCGCAATTTTTATTTATATTTCAATCACTGACCGACGTTTTATTTTCTACTATAATATAATAGCGAAAGAATTAAAAAAAAAAATAAGGAACATGAGGGTAATATGGTTACCTTAAGCTTTGCAGCCCTATAAAACCAAAACTAGGAGGAGGACAGAGACAAAAACACAAAGTCGAATACTATAAGTAATATATTAAGAAAAAATAGCAAACAAGCCTTGGCAATAATTATGAACACTTAGAAAAATCTACTCAAGAAAACTAACTACATTACTCCATACTAAAATCTACTTAAATATTTTCTATAATATCAACTATCACAAAACTAAATGCCACGGAAAAGAAAAAGATAAGAAATTTGAACAAAACCGATCAATAGAGTTAGATGAGTCAAACGGTAATGCTATAGAAGTAGAGAATACAAACATGCCTATAATAATAAATAAATCAAGATTACACAATGAGAAAATTAAACAAAAAACAAAAAACAATAGCATTGTAATATTTTCGGACAGTATCGGACAAGAATTGGCGTCAAAGATAATAGAAAAAACTGAATTTCAAGCAATTAACAACTGTAAACCGGACGCAGGATTTCAAAATATATTAGAAAACTATGGCGAAAAGATTAAAGGTCTCGAAAAAAAAGATACAGTAGCAGTACTTATTACTAAATATGAAAGTTCTCTTTATCATAATCAACAAAAGTACATAAAACTATTGAACGATATTGTAAACCAGCCTTGTAGGAAATTTAACATGATAATCACTGGTTTGCGTTATAATGGCAAAAATGACAACGAGATTCACCATATCAACAACCAGATCCTTAACATAGCTAAAGTTAGCGAAAATATCAAATTTCTGGACCCGAATATGAGATATAAAAATACAAGGAACTATAAATTATTGAAAAAATTCATCATAGAAAATACAACAACAAGTATAGACCGCAAGTTTCAAGGATCATCTTCACTGCGTTTCATCAAATACCAAAACGAACACACTTCCTCAAGTGATAATGGTACAAATTTTTTAACAACGCAAGAACCGATTCAAAAACGATAATCCTTCATGCGAATGTTCGAAGCATACATAAAAAATACTTGGAAATTGAAAGCTTAGCTAGCGAACAAGACTGTGACGTGTTGTGTTTGACGGAGATGTGGGGTAAAAACTGTCAGATACAAGGGATGACTATTGAAAACTATACACTCGCGACTTGCTTTAATAGAATAGTTTTTGAACACGGTGGAACGGCGATATATGTGAAAAATACTTTAGATTATAAAATTAGGAACGACTTGAATAAACTATCATTTGAAATGAATTGTGAATTAGCAGCGATAGAATTAAAATCCTCAAAAACAATAATCATTCACTTTACCGACCTGATTATGATATCAGTCTATTCTTTGAAAACTACAAAACTTTTAAATAAACTTTGTCAAGAGAACAAACAAATTGTAATAGCAGGTGACTTGAACTTAAATGTTTTAAAAATTGACATAAACATTAAAAAACTTGACAAAATACTTAAAAATTTTAATTGTAAATGGGTATTAAACGAACCGACTAGAATCTAAACAAATAAACGAAATAAAACCAGTTCCACTTGTATAGATAACTTTATTGTCATTTATTAATAAGATTGTTTATTAAGTCAAAAACTTTCTGATCGTAATGTAATTAAATTAGAAATCTAAAAAAAATTTAACAATAAATGTAAAAATTATGTAAGTAAAATCAAGGAATAATCTTGATTACTTTAATTATTTGTTTAATAAAAATTACAATGCGATTAAATCAGAAATTATAATAACTGAAGACGCGAACACAAGAATGAGAATTTTACACGATGCGTTGCATCATTATTACAACATTGCTTTTCCAAAAATAAAAAAACAAATAAGAAGCAAACTTAAAAAATGGACTACATTAGGCATAGAAACGAGTAAGAAAAACCTAACTAAAAAATATTACAAGAACATTGCCCTAGCGAACAAAGAAAATTAAAAATTAAAAAATATAAGAAAATATTGCTAAAAACAATGATAGCCGCTAAAAAAATACAATATTGTAACAGGATTAAGGAAGCAAAAAATAAAATTAAAAAATCGTGGAATATTATAAATGAGCAGATAGGATAAAAGAAACGTCAAAATACAAAATCTAAAATTGAATCTAAGAAACAATAGTGGGCAGATTATTACAGAATCTCAAAAAATTGCAAGAAGTTTTAATGATTTTTTCTGCAATATTGCACTAACAAGCAATTTAGAAGTTGACGCAGAAAACTGCATGAAGTACTTAGATTGCTCTGATAGACCACTAACATCTATTTCTTTTCACCCAGTAGATTATACAGAGCTAAAAAAGGTTGTTACTAGTATGAAGCAAAAATCTACGTTAGACATTTACGATATGAACACTAGAACATTAAGAAATCTTATTAGAAATAACAATAATTTATTCGAGTTGATATTTATTGTTGTCAATTCCTGCTTAGTTAATGGCATATTCCCCGACGTACTCAAACCGGGTAGGGTAATTCCACTTTTCAAAAAAGGGGATTCCACAGATCTAAGTAATTACAGGCCAGTTTGTATATTGCCAACTTTATCGAAAATATTAGAAGCCATTATAAAATCAAGAATTGTAAGTTACTTTGAAGAAAATCATTTATTTACAACGGCACAATTTGGATTTAGAAAAGGACGATCAACCGAAATGGCCATAAGAAAAGTAATTTATTTCATTCTAGAATCTTTGGACAATTCCAATAGATGTGCCAGTGTTTTTTGTGACCTATCAAAGGCTTTTGATTGCTTGCGACATGATGTAATGATATTAAAATTGCAGCATTATGGGTTTCAAGGAGCTGAACTAAATATGATGAAAACTTATTTAAGTAACCGTAGCCAAATTGTTTCATTAAATGAGCAAACTTCTTTAGCGAGTTCTGTGTCAATTGGAGTACCACAAGGCTCGATCTTGGGTCCTGTTTTGTTTTTGATCTATATTAATGATCTTGGCAATGCAATACCAGATTATACACATTTACGTTTATTTGCAGATGATACACATATCGGTTTAAGAGAGACAAAAGTTTATCAAATTTAAACGATAAAATTAATAGTGTTATGAGCTTGCTAAAAGAATGGTTTGGCGCAAATGGTATTATTTTCAATTCCAATAAAAGTATTGTAATGCATTATCAAACGAGGCTAGGCATTCGTGATAAATCGACTGCAAAAGAAAATGTATTTTTAGTATATACAGTAGATAGCACAATAAACCATAAAGCTCACATTGAAAAAAATTGTAAGAAAATAGCTAGCGGTAATTACGCATTATTTAAGCTAAAACCATTACTAGATAAAAAGACATTCATATCTCTGTACTATTCCTACATTCATTGTATAATAAGATATGCCATTACTATTTGGGGTAATGCTCCGGATATTATAAAAGTTTTAAAATGTCAAAAACAGTCTATAAGAATAATCAATGGTCTGAAAAAATGTAGCCCGACAAGAAAACATTTTAAGAACGACAAAATAATGACAGTGGTTTCGCTTTATATATATAATAGTTTATTAGAGGTACATGAGGATAAAGAAATACCGAAAAAGAGAGACATAAATCAACACAATCTGCGTAATAATGAAAAACGTGTTCTACCCATGAATAGATTAGTAAAAGTAAAACAACATGATCGTTACTCAAAAATATTGATGTATAATAAATTACCAAAAAGTTTAACCAGCCTACATTATAGCAAATTTAAACAGACACTTAAGTATTTTTTTGAGAACAACCTATTTTACAAATTAAGCGAATACATGTCAATGCAACTCATGGAATCGTCATTCTTGTGTAACGTGCAAACAAAATAAATTACCTAATTCTATGACGTAAAGCATTAATGTATATAAATTAAGGAAATAGTACAATAATATAATTTAACCTTATAAATTTATTAAAACTTTTGTAACCAATGACTTGCCTGTAACGATTGTTATATTAAGGTCAATAAATATTTCTGATTTCTGATTTCAAAATGGCGACAGTAAAGCAGCGCCCTTTCGACCCTTTATTATTTGATTGACCGATGAAGAGCCATCCTATCACAACGTCATCTATGTAAACAGGGCTGTAGTTTTAGAGTTATTAGTAAGTGACCATATTAATCGGATGACCATATTAGCCTCACGTACTATATTTTTTAATGACGTGAGACAAACATTTTGCTTGATTTATGTTCTATCTTATAAACGAAACCTGTGATAGCCATTACCGTACCTACGAGTGCAGACATAATATTTCCGTAGAAATAAGGTAATTATCGTTTACCCAGCAACACTATTCAAGACTAGTAAATTCTAGTTGAGTTGATCCTCAGCGGTTTTTATCCTCGTCGTTAGAAGACCATCGCGGTCTTTTTCGACATTACCCATGCATTCGATAGAGTCTGGCATGAGGGCCTTATCTACAAATTGTACGACTTAGGCCTCCCTGACCGTCTCGTCCACCTCGTAGCGTCGTATTTGAAGGATCGTACCTTTCGTTTTAGACACGAAGGAACGCTATCCTCTTCTCGTCAAATCTAAGCCGGTGTCTCTTAAGGCTCTGTGCTTGCCCCCCTCCTATACATACCTTTCACCAACGATTTTCTTATCCCGTCGAATGGTGTCAAACTAGCCCTCTTTGCAGATGACACAGCCCTCTACTCTAAAGGCAACTCACTGCTACAGATTCGGAACAAGATCCAAAAGTCAGTTAGTGACTTAGGAGCTTGTTTCCAAAAATGGCGTATCGACGTAAACCCGGAGAAGGCTGCTTCGAACATAAACGACGCCGTCTCGGTGGTGGTTAGACAATATTTTCCGTGGTAAGAATATCGATATAAATGACAAGATAATATGGTCGTGCCTTTGATTATATACATACCTGTATATACTCAAAGGTTATAATCAAAGGGTCGTGCGAAGAAAAAAATTTCACGGTATTAAACGTAGAAATCAGCGCCATCTCTTAAATACTCATGAACTACCACGGAATCAGTGCTCCTCCGATGTACATTTGTAAACGGTAATTACAACATTTATTTTAAAAAAATTGAAATATACGTAGGTAATTCATAATTTTTGTAATAAATACCGGAAAAAAGATATTCTATCCTTTTTTTAGTCACCTTTTTATCGGAATTAGTATACTTTTTTACTATACAACGGCATTTTGGCAATGCAATGCGAAGCCATTTGGCGTTTGAAATCAAGACATCACTGAGCTCGTGTAGGTGCTCCATAAACATTTTCGTACCTACGAAGAACCCGGTCCATACGCAGTAGTTTATTATGTCCATGGGTAAGAATATCAGATTACTTAATAGTGATTATATTAAGTGCCATCTGTAGTATATATAACATAACTTTATGAGGTTTCGCACTAAGGCTAATTCATACAATATAATGTTACTATCTAATAATAGATGGCGCTGTTGTCAATAAATTAAATTTGACAAAAATTTGGTTTTGTTTTGAACATAGGAAATACCAATATTATGGTTTTGTTTTAATAACATTTTAGTTAAGTCAAAATAAGTCATAGTTCTCAGCATTCCACTCGCCTTAAATTTTCACGATAGGTACACGTTTGCGAATCAGGCAAAATTATGCTGTTTTACGGCACATACATTTTGTGACAAAAAACCAAATTAAATATAACTTTTGTTACATTAAAAATCATAATTACTTTTACAAAACTGTCTCATTCTAAACAATACTACCAAAATTATGCAAATAATATGATTTGGATATTATTAATACATTAATTTCTAAGGACTGTGATAAGGCTGATTTTTTTTTGTAGTATTGGTACTACCATTTGTAAATCGATAATATCTAAGTACAATAACACTTGAATTTCTTAGTCTAATTAACATCAATGTGCAACTTCTATTACTTATAAACAATATATATATGTATATATATACGAATATCTCGCCATGGTAATAAATTACTTATTCAATTGATGATTTTCTATTGTTCTAATAATAGGAATTCGCAATAGGCAAGTTTTTATTTAAAAAAAACATAAAATTTGTGGATTTTATGGTTTTAAGCGATTTCTTTTTTCAGTCTGGATGTTCCTAGCCGAGGCAACTGTGCATGGTTATAGAGAAAAATATTTTTGGGCGAGTTTCAGCCTTGGATAATGGACATCATCTTGCCAAAATGCCAAAGTATCAGCAGTGGGCGCTTAATTTGGTAGCTTTAGATAATCATTTCGTTTTAGTTAGCGAATCCCCTGTAAAAATTATTTTTAATTAAATTTTACTTTTACTGTGTAGATGACAATGGCGCACCTATATTTATCTGATATTCGTATGATTTATCGCAGTATTTTCATATGTCACTTCGATCTTGTTTACGAGAAGATATTTCAATTCGACTTCTTTAAACAATTACACTAAAGCATACTCTGTTACTTGACCTGTGCTTTCGTTCGACTGTCAAATGAAATGGATGAATCAATCCAGGCAGTGGCGTAGCTACCTTGGGGCTAGGCGGGGCAGTGCCCCGGGGCCCCCAAGCTCAAGGGGCCCCTCAGCCTCCGTGAACGACATTTGAAAAAATTATACATATTATATAACGTAAAGGATTTAAAAAAATCGATGTTTTACTTTATGGCCCCTGAAAAATAAATCTCGAACGGCTCGAAATGAAACTACAAAAATTTCTTCACCCTCCGGAATATTAAACATCATTGTTAAAATAAAATCGTCTACTTAGTTTTACTGTCTAAATAGCTGTATTATTAACTGTAATCTACTTCGTCATTGTTTATTTTGCTAGCTTCCGCCCGCGACTTCGTTTACCTAGTACTGGTATGGACCAACATTGAAAATTCCTTCCTTTATTAAAAGGATACTTTTATCGGGATGAAACGGTGACGATGAGGTGAAGCGGTGTGCTAAATTTCCTAAAATCCATAAAGCATATTTTACGTGAAACCGTAACAAACAAACAAGCTTTCACGTTTGTAAAATTAATACCAACGTACCCCGGCTCCACATGGGTTCACTTTACATGTGGTGTCATTTATATTTAAAAAAAGCACTGTTCATAATATTTCAAAGATAAATATGATTACGGTGAGTCAAATTTAGGAGATAAGTAGATTATTATGCCAGCGTGGACTGTTGGCGTAGACTTTTTGAAGAACTATGATTCCTAAAAAAAAAATCAAAGTCAATGGTGCCCTGAATGCATTAGTCAAAAGGCAAGGCGTGGTGAAGAGTGCACGCCTTGCAATACATAACGCAGTGTTGGTAACGACTTTGTTATATGGCAGCGAAACCTGGGTATGCCAGAAGAAGCATAAAAGCAAGTTGAATGCAGTGGAGATGCGATCTCTTCGTAAAATGTGTGGCGTTACCATAGCCGATCGAAAGCGAAACGAAGAGATTCGCAATATGGCAGGATTGAAAGATGACCTTATCACAAAAATTGATGGGGGCGTACTCCAAGACCGAATGGTGAAGAAAATATATAGAGCGAAAGTAAATATTAAAAGGTGTCGAGGTAGACCGAGACTAACTTTCGAAGACCATGTGAGCAAATTGCTCGAAGAGGGGAAGGTCAAGAGTACTCGGATACCTAGACGTGCATGTATGAAGAAGTTAATGAACCCGAAAGAAGCGAAAGAGGTATGTAAGGGTCGTGACACTTGGCGATTTGTTCTCTCTGGCTACCCCGTTAGGGATTGTGCGTGAAGATAGATAAGTAAGTAAGTACTATGATTCCTTATTACATTATTTTAATGTATCCCTTTAAAGTTTAGCCAGCCAGAATTTTTGACGACTAATAAATACAAAATATTGAACTCTTTTTACTATTCAAATTTAATTAGAATGTATTGTACATACTAAACTTCCGTAAAAAATTCTTATTTTTAGTTGTTATTATGAAGATACGGCTGCCCATCTCCTGATTTTTCACCCACTCTCGCCTCTGACGACACCCGCAGGATGATATGAGGTAGTGGATATGTTTGCACCGCCACTATCACCGCCTTATCAACGGCTTATCAAGGGTTGAATTTTCTTAGTGGATGCTTACATCATAACAGGCAGCAACTGTCAGATATCTACGTCTAGTTTTTTGGGATGTGCGTCATGATATAATATTTTTCATACAAACTTTGCACCCCCTTTTTTAGTCCGTAAGATTTTTTTAACTAATTAAAAATGTGAAATTTATTATTTTTAATTCTCCGGTCCCTCTTTAATGGATTATTTTCAAAATCGTTAAATCTGTATCCATTTCACTTTTTATAGAAAAAGGGTGACGAACAAGCAAACACTTCACCTGATGGTAAATGGATGCTGTGGTCCATAGACATATTTATTCTCAATGAAGAATCAAAATGCAGATGTATTATCACCCCTGAGTACTAAGATGGAATGCCTTGTTTATTATAATCCGGTTCTCTACACTCACCATAAGAAACACAACAACATTACGCTGCTATTTTACGCTGGTATTCTGCGAGAGAGCGCCGTGGTAGCTCAGATGATCAGCGCTTGCTGCAGATTTCATACAGTACGCGAGAGCTGAGGCCTGTGCCCATGAGTGGGAGGTACATAGGCTGTAACTTTAACTTTTCATTTTGTGCGAGCGTAGTCCTGCCCCGGCCGAACCGATCCATTCGTGCTGCAACCATAATATAGCTGCAGCGTGACTCTAACTCGTAATATAGAGACCCTATTTCATCCCCTTAGAGGTTGAATTTTCCTTGGTGGATGCCTACGTTATAAAAGGCAGCGACTGTCACATTTTCAGATATCTAGGTAAAGCGGTTTGGGCTGTATATGAAAGTACGATTAAATAGTATATGCTGTGTTACACATACTACATAGTAGTTTTGCACATTTAAATTATTTAGTTTAGTTCAAATAGGGCCCCAATTTCTTTTTTGCCCCGGGGCCCTTGTTTGCATAGCTACGCCACTGAATCCGGGGTTCGTAGTGATAGGGAAACTCCGTATTCATTCGTCGTATTTTTTCGCGCCGACGACGCGCGTTTTCCAAGTCTGCCTGTAATTAGAGTTGCATAAAAAATATTATATAGTTTTTAAATATTCGTGATTAGTATTCGCGGAATACGAATATTCGGAATATTCTTATTATAAATATCTACCTATTCGGCGATTACAAATATTCGTATTCGTATTCGTTCCATCACTAATACCTACCTCACCTTGGTAATAAGTAAGCAACATATAATATGTAAGTCAATGCATTATCATTATATCATTAAAATACTATTATGAAAATTAAGAATATCAATTGAGCTGCAACAGAAATTAACTTTAATTATTATAAATAATTAAACTCATAATTTATAAGAGCTATACATATACTGAAATATTTGTTGGAATAAATTATTCATTATTACTCACTTGCATTTCTTATTAATGATCTGCACTTTTTTCACGAGCAAATACACTTAATAACATAGTTAACACATATATATATAAAGTAAAATAAGTTAGTTTATATGTTTATCAGTACACCTTACTACCACCGCGTATTCATTGTTCAAATCAAATATCCCGCGCTTCCCCGGCTTCCTATTATACATTTCCAACCCCCTTTCAAGAAATCACTCCCACAGATTGTGAGAAAGCCCACCCTAGTCAAGCTGACTGATTCGTGATACTGCCATAATAAAGCTGCAACGTGGCTCTTTCGCGTATAAGTGGCTAAGTGGTTAATTCTTTCAACATTGCGTGTCGTCTAGAATTCTGATCGCTTATAAACCTGCAAAGCGTGACAATAAAAGCAAACCTTTATCTTCCCTTCAACGGGGAAGGTCTGTGTTGAGCTGTGGACATTTTCAGGCTAAAGGAGACGACTACCTTTTACGCGTGAGGAACGACGAGTACCGGAAGCTCTTTTACCGGTACGTTTTACTAGATATTCCATCTTAGCCCATAGTGGTGACATTGCATCTGTATTTTGATTCTCAATTGAGGACAGAATTTGGGTGTAAAAGCCAAAAATCTACTTAACCTCAACACTCTTGTTGCATCTACTTTTGTAAAATACTTACTAAAAAGTAATTAATTTCTTCCTTATGCAAAGGCGAATTTTTACTTTTTGGCTTTTATAAGTTTATGATATGGCTTTTGTAATTTATATAAATTTAAAGTTTATTACATTTGTTATGAACTAATTAAGAATTTAATGAGGGCAATATGTACAATTTCTGGGCAGTATTTTTTTAGAGGATAAGGTGAAAAACGAGCTTCACAGTGCGCCTAATGGTAAGTGGTCACTGTGGCCCATATACATCTACATCTATTCTCGATTACAAATTAAAATGCAGATGCGTTGTCATCCGTGAGGACTGAGATGGAATGCCCCGTTTCCAGTAAATAGGGTCTCCGGTTCTCTACACTCACCACACGAAACACAACAGCATTAAGCTACTATTTGACGCAGGTATTCTGAGAAAGCGTAGTCCTTCTCCGATCGAGCCGACCCATTCGTGCTACAGCTATACTACAAATTTAATTGCAGCATGGCTCTACCACGTAAAAAATGAATAGTGACCAAAGCATGTAATTTTAAGGATTATTAAATATTGAAACATACTTTTATTTACTCGTATTTTGTTGCCTTTTATTCTGAAGTTTTAACTTAACTTAACCTAGCCACAGCACACTTAGAAATGCCTTCAAATTCTTCATCTGGCGCTTCGCTATGAAATTGTTATTAACAGCATGGTCCACGACAAATTTATTGGTATATAGATCTAACTTGATCTAACGATTATCGGTTTCTATTATTTTCTTCCTCTTTCGGTGTAAACATAATAAGGCCGCCGAAACTATCTATTTTGTCTGCCTAGGTCGAGCAGTGTTTTGTATTTGAAGCTTTTGTAGTTTATTTTCTATCTCAACAGTTTCGACGACTCGGACCTTGATGTTCACTTTTAAACTATTCCCGGGGGGTAAAGTGTATGAACACCAGGCGATCCTATCTTCAGTTTCAATCTTCGCTAAATAACGTTGTATAATTCTGTATTCTTCCTGCGATTCTGGGACAAACCTCACGCCCTTCCCGTGCTGGTATACTCTGGGCCTCCAGCCTATGCTCTCAGTTAGTACCCGTACGTGATTATCCAAATTCGGGAGGCGCTCAACGGTTAGTATTGGATACTTGGGCTGTATATAGATCTGTTTTGTTTCATATTTCACTATTTCCTTAAAGGTTTTTTTCGGATCGCGCTTTACTGATGTCTTGCTACGGGACTCTTTGCTTGTGGACGCTGAAGATTTATCACTAAAGGAGGTTGTTGCATTACTGATTCTTGAGGATGTGGACGCGGAGCAAGAGTTAGAAGATGGAGCAGTTGCACTGGAGGTAAATGAGTGACTGGAGGTAGATGACGCGACGGCCGAGCGGGGGTCCGACGTGGTGACTCTGCGAGGCACGTTAGTTCCTGTATTACTTACAGACGATGCATTGTGAACGGTGCTGGCACGAGGACCGGTAGCTGAGGATACACTGACAGTTGCAGTGGCTCCAGATTGGTTGAGGTTTTGGTTGGCAGCGGGCTTTGTCTTCTTTCTCCGTGTCATCGTACCTTGTGCAAGTACTTTTATAGAACTTTGATGGTACAAACGTAAAGTATTCTTCTTCTTGTTATCTCCCACTAAATTTCTTTGCTGGTAGTGATTCTTTCTATCAGAAGTAAGGTTGTGTATACGGCGCAATAGTCGCTGTTTGTTGCTAACTTCTTTAAGCAGAAAGTGGAAATCCGAGCCGCTGTAGTACACCGTTCACGTATCGACGTATGGTATTGAGGTAGTATGTTTTGCGTGGAAACTGGACAAGTCCGACCAGTAACAAGTACTGGCCGTACTGTGTCTTGTTCGCGGCGCGCCGCCGTATTTAAACAGTAGCTGCGGGTGACGCAATGCAGTCCATCGCATCGTCCTTATCAGAGCATGTAAAAACCCGTTAGTTATGAGTAATATTAAAAAATTATCTATGTTTATATATAAAACAGCATTTAGGCTTTCATCTTTCGGATATCTGCTTGAAAATTCTTGGCATTGCCCGTCTTCGGCCGAGCGAGCACATTCCAGCCGCAGCTGCACCGGAAACGTTGTTGGCTTACATTAGATACACCTTTGTTATACTTATAAATTTTATGTCATCATCATAATCATCACTGCAGCCCTTCATTAAGCTGCTGAACATAGACCTCCCTCCAGTAATGCCACAAAGCGTGGTCCTGAGCCAGCTGCATCCACCGACTTCCTGCAGCCTTAACAAGTCGTCACTGCATTTAGTGGGAGGCCGTCACACTACGTCTACACTTCACTCAATGATATGAGGCTGCAGGCTGCCACTTTGGAACCTTTCTTCCCCATCAGTTGTCGGATCGTCCAGTTATATGGCTGGCCTACTACCACTTTTATTTACTAATCCGTTGGGTATGTATAAAGTTGTTATGTTTCATTAATCATCAAGTTAAATGTTTCATTAAATAAAAAATATACAGTTTTAGTTTTAGTACAGTAAATTTATTATGCAAAGTAAAGTTCTATCACAGTTTTCCAAATTGATTAGCATTTAGCTCGCTTTTTTCTGCAGTATACATAACTGATTTGCCTGTAAATCGTTAATACTCTAAATTTTGAATTATAATATATAAAAATAATAAATAGAAAAGTGCAATTAATTTATATAACAACTTGTTCAAATAAATTGTTTATTTTTTTATTAGAAAAATATTTATCGTTTTATTACAGTTTGTCTGCTGCATAGCTGCTAAACAAATGCCTCCTTCGTTGATTGTCTCATACGGGTGATATCTGCCACAGTTGCCACGCTTGGCAGGCGGGTCAGCAACTGGAGTTTTTAATTATTGGCTTCGTATCAGGAAGATGCTGCTGCCCATTTATTATTGCATTTTCCTCCGTCGCCTTAACGTCGCTCACGGGTGTGGGTGTCGTTGATCATCTTGCACCACCTCTGTGAGGTGATAAACATTTAAAAATAGAAGAAATTTAATTAGTATAATGTATTTAACCAATCCCGTATCTGCGTATGGTCATAAGAGGCGACAGTGGGATAGAAACTGGAGGTGAGCCGTAACATCTTTCTGATAACAACTCCAAGTATAATATAAATCTGCGAATTCCAATCCACTTGCCAATAAACTGTAGCGAAATCCCTCGCCATCTATGGGCTTTGATAGACTGTAGTGGATTGAATAAACAACATTAGTGGTGTAATCCTTTGTTTCCTCTGGAGAGTGTAGAGAACCGGATACCCTTTTTATGAAAACGGGGCATTCCATCGCTGCATCTGCATTTGATTCTTGCATTCTTAATAGAAAATAAGTGTAGATGTCTTTGGAACACAGCACCGTCTTACCATCAGGTGGAGTGTGTGCTCGTTTTTCACCACCATACTTAAAAATATATATAAAAGATCCTCTTGTTACGCCAGTGGTAGACTTCTATGGCTTGGTCTCTCCGGTCGAGTAGGAAAATCGTCGAATCGACCGCCGTGACTATAACTCAGTATGGAACACAATTTTTTTGTTTACTAGCTGTTCTTCGCGACTAAATTACACGCGAGCGAGCGTGTAGTTCAGGGTTTTGGTTTTTGTGCGCAGAATCCTAATTAAAAAAAAAAAGTAGTATTACTCCTTACAGCATCAGCTATCTGCCAGTGAAGGCCCCGTCAAAATCGGTCAAACTATTTCTGGGATTGGCGTGAACACAGACAAACATAACATTAAAAATTGTGTTTTGTTATTAGTAACGTATATTTTTTCATATACATTTAAGTTGTCAATTTGACATTACAAACAGATACTTCAATTTAATTTATTTGTGTAAATTTGTCATTTTCAAATACTGTTAAGTGCCTCATGTCCCAAACTCCTGATGGATGCTTTTTGGCGTGGTAGAGCCACATTGCAGCTATATTATGGTTGTAGCACGAATGGGTCGGCTCGACCGAGGTGGAACCACGTCCCCACAGAATATCAGCGTGAAATAGCAGTTCAATGCTGCTGGTTTTCGTATGGTAAGGTTCCTCAGGGGTGACAACGCATCTGCATTTTGATTCTTAACTGAGGATAAATGTATATGTCTATGGGAGCATCCACTTACCATCAGGTGGACTATGTGCTCGTTTGTCACTCTATCCTATAAAAAATGCTTATGTCAAGATATCACTGTAGACGTAATCGGTCAAGTTAATGTAATCAACATTACTGTAAATACATGAATCACACAATGTTGTGAATACTAAAATTATTAATAGTACTTATCGCATCATAGCAACAAAAATACTCAGCCAGTAATAACGGTTTTGCCCACCAATCGCATATTGAGGACATTACGCCATATTATTTAACGAAATTGAGAAATGTTACATCGTGCTGAAATGCATAACATTTTTTTTAATACTGAAGTGACAAACGAACTTGGAGTCCACATGTTGGTAAGTGGCTATCGCAGTCCAAGGACACCCGCAGCCAATTTCCGGCAAAGAAGTTTATAGATGCGTCGACCTCTCATGACTAAGATGCACTGTAACTATACTGGCTTCCTCTCGGCCAGGCACGACCCTTCAGACCTGAACATAGCATGCAAGCACTAACATATTGCAAGCAAAAAATTGCAATTAATAATAAGAATGTATATTGTTTACGGTATTTATCTTTAACAGATAAATAAAATAATTAACATATATGCAGTTGCGTAGCGTGCCTTAGACGGGCCCTGCATCAAAAAATTTTGGGGGACCAAATGAAAGACCCAAAACCGCTCGCATGAATTAAAATAATTATATATTGATTGTAAGTTAATAATTACTATTATTACTCCTAGGAACTAAGCTAGACAAACAATTCGAATCAAATACTTATAAACTGTAAAATTTTAATTTGTAAAATGCTATCCAACACTCAAATTGCCAACAAGTGAACCGTCACTTCTCGGCAAGTCGGCTGGAACTCTAACATGCCGGTGCATGTTCGAGTTCAAGCCAATGTAAGAATGTATCTGAAATGAATGATGTGTCAATTGCTAGAGCAAAATTTCACGTGTTAAGATTTTGATTTTATATATAAATATTTTGATCTTATCAGGATTGTAAATATTGGTAATGAAATATTAAAATGTGTGCAATATTATATTAGAATATTGATATTTGTTATGCCATGTGAGTATTTTCTACAAGATTATTTTTAAAAACCTTTACATTAGGTTTTGAATTTATCATTTAATTAAAAGGCACAACAAATTTATAAAAATAAAATATTTATATTAGTATAGTTTGTAAAAAAATATTATATCATAGGTATATAATAAAAGCTGATAAACGTTTTGTTTACTTAATCATATTCTCCTATGCCAACCCTATCTAAATAGATTAAAACTTTGACAGATCCTTAGAAGCCTGTGTACGGTTTCTTTTTAATGCTCATGTGGTGTTAGTCTAGTCTTAAACGCGATTGCTGAACATGAGGTACCGGCTTCTAACCCCGGGTCGGGCCAAAATCAGTTATTGAGTTTTTCTGTCAATAAACTCTCAGTAGCAGCTCGGAGTCTGGAAGTTGTCGGTTCACCCTGTGCTTCGGAAATCACGTAAAGCCGTTGGTCTTGCGCTTGTTGCCAACCAAACTTGGCAACCATGTCAAGTACCCTTCCAATAAGACCATCTATAGAAGAGGCTTATGCTTTCGATTCTTGGTAGGCTGTAACAGGGGCGACGGAGGAACTATACTTTACCCCCATCTCCTGCCTGTTTCCCTCTGTCGCCTCTTACGACACCCACGGGATGATACGGGGTAGTGGATATTCTGACACCGCCACCACACAATAACTAAATGCAGCTATACTTTAGATCTTTAGAAGAATGGAATTTGTGCTACAACACTGCACTTGTGAATTCAATGTAATGAATATGCTATTTTAATCTTTTATAAATATTATTGTATTTGCTGTAATTGAGATAAAAAAATGTTTCAAAAATAATGCAAAAATCATTTATATGTTAATAATTCTTTTTTATCTGTTAAAGATGAATACCATAAACAAAACACGTTCTTATTATTATTTAATTTTTTTTTGCTGAAGGGTCGGGCCTGGCCGAGAGGAAGCCAGTATAGTTACAGTGCATCATAGTCATCAGAATGAACGTATATGTAGATTTATTTGCCGGAAATTGGCTGCGGGTGTCCTTGGACTGCGATAGCCACCATGATGTGGACTTTTTGTGGTCTTGTGATATGTGGTCATTTGTCGCCTCAGTATAAAAAAATGTTATACATTTCAGTATGATGCAATTATTTCTCAATTTAGTTAAATAATATGGCGTAATATCCTCAATATGCGATTAGTGGGTAAAACCGTTATTACTGGCTGAGTATTTTTGTTGCCATGATGCGATTAATGCTATAAATAATTTTAATATTCAAAACATTGTAACATTGATGTACTCACAATAATTTTCATGACTTTAACTTGTCCGATTACGTCTACAGTGATACAGTGGAACCTCGATAATTTGAACCCCCGATAATTCGAACGCCTCTATCATCCGAACGACC